CCAGTGCGCCCATCTCGTCCTCCCGCCGCCCGCTCGCCCGGCAGCGCCCAAGTGGCGTTTCCTTCCTGTGACCCACTTCGGAAGGCGAGAGGAAGGGGAGAGCCAGGGGTTGGGGGAGGGGAGTGGCAGAGGTGTATGGCAGAGGGAGAAAGGGGAGGGGGCGACCTTGGTCTCTTTCTGGCTGCACCCATGCATCTACCGAGCCTCAGGTCAGTGGTGACTGCTCTATCACCTTATCTCCGGTCAGACACTCTCCTTTCCCTCTCCTCCTCTTCTTGTTTTTGCCCTAACCAATTTACCTACCCTTATACCAGTCGCTCTGCACTTCTTCGTATCGACTTGACTCCTGTCTACATGTCTGTTTGCTCGTCAGTGTCTATTTTCTTTCTATCCTTTATCACTGTTCGCTCTACTCACCACTCTGCGTGTCTGTTACGTTTCTTGGTCTGCCTATCATTCCCGTTCTTTCTGGGAGGAAGGGCGGTCGATTTTATTCTGTCCTGCTTCCCAACAACTGTCTGCCTCAACCCCCCCCCATCCCATCCCTCCCAGCCTCCCTCGCCCCCTGACGTCGCAGCTTTCGTCGTTCGGAATTCTACGGCGTCTGTCCCCCGCTGCCCCTGCTCCGTGTCCCGCGAGAGAGTGAACATGCAAACGCGGAAAGATTGTGTATTTCATTCTCCCTCTCTCTCTCTTTATCTATCTATCCCCCCCCCCTCTCTCTCCACACACACACACTCTCTCTCTCATTATCTATCTATCCCCCCCTCTCTCTCTCTCCACACACACACTCTCTCTCTTTATCTATCTATCCCCCTCCTCTCTCTCTCTCTCTACACACACACTCTCTCTTTTTATCTATCTATTCCCCCCTCTTTCTCTCTCCACACACACACTCTCATTCTCTCTCTCTCTCTCTCTCTCTCTCTCTCTCTCTCTCTCTCTCTCTCTCTCTCTCTCTCTCTCTCTCTCTCTCTCTCTCTCTCTCTCTCTCTCTCTCTCTCTCTCTCTCTCTCTCTCTCTCTCTCTCTCTCTCTCTCTCTCTTTCTCTCTCTCTCTCTCTCTGTCTGTCTCTCTCTCTCTCTCTCTCTCTCTCTCTCTCTCTCTCTCTCTCTCTCTCTCTCTCTCTCTCTCTCTCTCTCTCTCTCTCTCTCACTCACTCCCCCCTTCTCTCTCTCTCTCTCTCATTTCTCATCTCTCTCTCCCTATCTGTGACTCTTTCCTTCTCCCTTTCTACCTCGCTCCTTTTATTTTCGTCTCTCTTATCTTCTCCCTTTCTCTCTCCCTACCACGCTTGACCCCCTTCTTCTCTTCTTCCTGTTTACCATATAGATGAGAACCTATTTTTTCACCGCAAGAGAACGCTGCATTTGGGCCTTAGTCTATCCTCTCTTACGTTTTATCTCCTCGAGTCCGACCACAAACAATATTTTATACATTTTCCGTATAAATTCCAACCTCTACTGCGATATATAAATCTCCAACATTTTCACTACGGTTGCGCAGGTAAGGATACGACCCGAAGCAAAACAAACAGATGGATTTTTTACACGCCGTTCAACCGCCCACTTGGAGGATCCCTCTTGGCTCTAATGGTACCCTCGCTGCCCCCAGGACGAGACCCCGATTAACCTGTGACTCCTGTGGCTTTATTGTCCTTGTTGTTTCGACCTTCTGTTGCTTGCTCGTTGCCTCCCTGTGTTCCCCGAAGTGATTCTTTTCTTTTATGACTTGTCCTTTGTGTTCTAGTTGCATTTGACCAGTGATATTTCTTGCATAGTTGGTAGATGTCTGTTTTTGAGGTTGTTTGTTTGTATTGGCTTTTGTTTATCAGCTTACAATCACAGAGGTTATTGCTTGTTTAAGGTTCGATTTTCGATGTAGCGAAACAGAAATGAATTAGAATCAAATTTTTTGTAACATGAACCCTTGGCTATCCCCAATTATATGATTATTAAATTCGACGGATAATCAATTCTGGCATTAAGTGACACGCGCTCGTCCATCAGATACCGAGCGCCATGAGATGTTACTCTGTCAATTCAGACCCATTTGGCAGTGACGTTTAGCGTGCGTTCCCTTCATCAGGATGCGCTGTCATAACACGTCCCCATCATTGCAGTGGCATTCCTCTCTGCGTGCCAGTCCTTGGCCTCGCTCAGCTCCGTGTGTTTGTTTGTTTGTTTGTATTGCGAAGCCCCTGCAGCTTTGTTTACTCCTATCTGTTTATCCCTCCTCTTAATTCTCTTTGCCCGTTCCGTCTGGCTCTTTCACCTTGCGTTATTTACCCTAATGTTCTGTTTTGCTTTTAGTAGCACCCACAATCACTTTCGTGATTTTCTTTTAGTTGTGTTGCATGTCTCCCTCATCATCATGTCCCTCACACACATCCTGCAGCAACGGCCAGGGGCTGAGGCACGCCCAGCCCCGGCGCAGCAAGCAAGCATTCTCACCCAAGCGACGAGCGTGGCGACGTCGAGCACGAGGAGCAGCGCGGCGA